TCCACGGAATCCTAACCTTGGCTGCCCGTGGTCTCCTCTTGAAGCGAGAGTAATGATTTAAGATGCTATATTCTTCAGTCAGTGTTCCTTTATCCACTCGGCCAATAAATAAAATACATTATTAGTTAAAATATTAATAAAATAATTAAGCTGTCAATAATAAACTTAGGCGTGTATAAATATATAATTTTACTTGTTTTTTATGGGTGTAAAACTTATTCTGTAACATTTACGGAAGGGGACACAGATTAAGGATGTTGAAGAGAAGAAAACTGAGGAGATTGAAAAGACCTCAGAGAACTGAGGTGACAAAAGACTGGAGGAAATTGAACGGTGAGAGTGTCACGGTTTGCACTCTGCCAAATATTATTAGGGTAACCGAAGTAAGGGGCACGAGATGGGCGGGGCATATAGCGCGCATGTAGCAGTTGAGAAGTGCCTACTAAATTTTGTTGGAATGCCTGAAGGAAAGAGACAACTCGGAAGACCTAGGTGTAGATGGGAGGATAATATTAAAATGGTTATTTGAATATGATAGGGAGATGTGGATTGGATTCAACTGTCCCAGGATAGGGACCAGTGGAAGGCTCTTGTGAATACAGTAATGAACAATCTTATTATATAAAAGGCGAGATGGATTTCTTGACTAGATGAGCGACAATTAGCTTTTTTGACGGACTGTGCTCCGTGGTGTTTAGTGTAGTCTGACTGTCGAAGTGACTAGAGCACTCTCAGTCAGCTAATTTTTTTATTTCACAGAAAATAAGTTCGTAGAAGTGGCCACGCCATGTTGCACTGAACTTTGGCACATGGCGGGAACAATCAGATCCGAAGTCATTTCTCGACACTTGGCAGGCCGGAGTTTTAGGGCAGCATTTGACCTCACGATTGTACTCAGTAACCGAAACTTTAGACATAATCTCTCGCGTCATATTTGCGACCCACCACGATTCTTATGCAGATTTGACTGCTTTGAATCAAGGAAGAAACGTTAAATTTGTATTTAT